AGGCGTAGATTGGGGAAGAAATGGACGGGGAAGAAGGGAAGGGGAAGGGGGGATGTGAATGGGAAACCCTGATAAGGATGGGGGAATCGAAAGAGGGGAAACGGGGTAATCGAAAACCGAAAAATGGAGAAACAGAACGAACTTTTTTTCTAAATAAACAACAACAAACGGAATCGGGAAATCTCATTCCCTTTCCCGTTTCCCTTACCCCCGAACCAAACATCCCCTTAATACACATTTTAGTTCTTGTAAGTGTATTCACGAGTCAATCTAGTCCCTAAAAATACGGGTGAGTCAAATTAGTTCGTGGAAACAGAAAATATGAACCAAATTAGTTTTTATAAATTTTAAGTTTGAACGTTAATTGACACGAAAACTAATACGCGCGCTATTACTTTTACGTCAATTAACGTGATAACTTATAATCTTAGCATATAAATTTCGTCTGAAGGAACTAACTTGATTCATACTTTTTACTAAAAGGATCTAATTTGACTTCATCAAATTTACATAGACCAACTCGACTTTTAAGTGCACTTACATGGACCAAAATGTGTATTAACTCCTCCAACGAAATACTAAAAGTTTTTACAAGAATGAATTGGTTCATCTGTCTTTCAACTAAAACTAATAAAAAATAGTGCTTTATTATTCTTCTTATTTTGTTACATGGATTAGTAACATACAACTGAAAAATTATATGATTGATATTTATTTTTGAAAGAACAACAATATTATAATTTTAATTTATACGAAATTACGAATATAATTTGGGAAAAAAATATAATGGCATAGAAGAAAATAAAAAGAGATAAAAATGAAAAAGTAGAGTAATTTTTTTTAAATAAAATATGAAATTTATACAATAAAATATTATTTCAAATATCTCTCACAGAGTAGTTTTTTAAAATGTGAGGTACCCGATAATTAGTTTTTCTCAAAATAAAGGATACCTCAGAGTATATTTTAAAAATTTGAGGTATTCGGTCGTTAGTTTCTCAAAATAGGGGGTATCCAAGAGCGGTTTTCTGGGAAAGGAAGTGTAAGTGCCTCTTTGGTGAGTGTAGATCACAAGATATGTTTCTATATCTCCAGTTAACATACTTTTTTTTTGCTATTTGGCGAGGCATAAAAGGAATTTGAATTCAATATTTCCAGATATCACAAATCATTCAAATGGAGGGTTTTGATATCTCTCGAGTTTGCAAGATATCAACATGGGGATTTGATATTTTTCAACCGTCGATCGTTTTCCGACACCAGCTATCATTGCCACCGCCAACTATCCCCTTGTCGGGGACTCCCGCCAATGGCTAATTAAATCACGATTTTAAATTTTTCCAAACAACCTCATTTCATGTTTTAAAACTCATATTATTTTTCACAGATTTCAAAATTAAATCATATCAAATCTCCAAAACGCATAAAAAGGCACTAAATTTGACCTAGGGTAATGCTCGTATTATCCAACTACTCCGTCTGTCTCAAAATGGGAGAATTTCTAGATATAAGTAAAAAACTATGAAAATTTCAAAAATAGAAATCATATATCTCTTAAGATCAAATTAAGAGTTCACACTGTCATTTTTTATACTGACACACTCACCATATCGTTACATCGTAACTGCCACCATATCACCACTACATTGTCATCTGTCGATGTCAGCCAGTGCCGTCGCGGATGACTAATGGTTGACTGATTATACTCCTATGTTACGGTGTTATCATTTTTCTCACACCGCCAACACGTACTCTTACGACACATTGTTATTATACTCCTATTTTGGTCTTAAAAGACTTATGATTGCTATTTTAATAATTTCATACTTTTTTACTCCGATCTAGAGAGATTTCTTTATCAAAATGATTTACACTATCTATTCGAACAATGTATAAATTTTAAAATATACCGAGTAGTTTTTTTGAAAATTGGTGTAGAAATAAAAAGTTCAAATTACGGAGTATATGTCTGAAAATTAAATAAAAAATTATATAAAATAAAAAGTGACAAAAATATTTTATTTTATTAAATAATTGAAAAAATAAGTTTAAACAATGAAACAAAAATTTATGCAAAAAATGGTGAAATGTACCTGGTGAATCATCCACGGAGAGAGTATTGTGTATCCATACCTCATTTTACTTTATGCATTTTACTTTTTGGACCATGCTAGGTGCCATCACATTAGTGCTACTATGGATGGATGCATCCATGTTTCGCAAGACAAACAGATATTGTCTGTGCCACACCCTAGCATTTTACTTTTTTTTAATCATAGCAGAGCAGCAGGTCTCAATTCTTAGGTACAGTCTGTATGAAAAGAAGAAGATGATGGCGGAAGATCTCGGCGTCGAGGCCAAGGAGGCAGCGGTTCGTGAGGTCGCCAAGCTCCTGCCACTCCCAGATCTCTTGCAGTCGATCTCTTCGATCAAAGCTGACTACATTTCCCGCCAGCAGGTAACAGCAAAACCAAAATGAATTCGTTACAATCCGGGATAAGAATATTACGATCCTGATTACAAGATCTTACCATCCGGATTAGGAATTTTTACAACGTAGCTGATATTCTGTATCAATAGAATGGTTTGGGGAGCTTTTTGGAGTTGTGAATTGATGCAGAAAAACACAGGATTTAGTTCTAGAGAGCATATGCTGAGTAATACATTGAAATAAATTGTTAAACATGGGATATTGTTTCTGATGCTGGGATGTTACCCTTAGAGTGTGTTGAATTCGGGGCGAGAAAGATCAGGGAAAGAAGGGAATGCTTTATGAAGGAGCGAATGGGAAACAATCAAATTCTGTTGGGAGTGCATAAGTTTCGGTAAAGCGAGGAAGGAGTGAAATCATAGAGGATTACAATGTTTTCTCATTTGTAAAATTGAATTGAAGAGGAAAAAGTGCTTTGTATGATACTATAATTTAGAAAGTATTACTCCGTATGGTTATGAGGGGAGGCTAGTGTTCCCATTTTGATGCCAATGCATCATTGAAGGGATGATCAAAGCAAATTGAAGAGTGGGGAGCATCCACACATTAACATCTCCTTCCCCCCATCCCTTCTCACCATCCTCCGCATTCCAAAGAAATTTAAGTGCCAATTCATGGCCATTCATTGAGAAATGATATATATTCCCTCAGCCACCATAATGTTTGTTTCATTTTCCTTTTTGGGATGTCCCATAATTTTATTTCAATTTCCTTTTTGAAAAAGAACTGTTTAGTTCATATTACTTCTCGTGTCTGCATAAATCTCAACCACGCGGTTTCTATGTTTAAAAAATGAGTCGAGTCAACACTAGAAAAAAATCATGGCACCTCCCCCCTGCGCAAAAGGAGTACTTATTAAAGTATTTAGAAAAGTGATGTGTGCCCATTAGGAAACAACCTCTCTACTTTCGAGTAGGGGTAAGGTTTGCATACACACACCGTCTCCAGACCCTACTCTTTTGGGATTCAACTGGGTTGTTGTTGTTGATGTGTACACATTAGAAGCTGCTGCAATCATTTAAAAATTATTGATGACTTCATTAAAAAAAACTTGAATATTTTAAAATAAAATGCAAGTTATAAATTAATGAATTTCGCATGTGTGTATATACATTTATAAGACCATCCTCAATGGGGGCTGGAGGGGTTGAAAAATACAATAAAAAACAATGAATTGGGAGAGAGAAGTGGAGAGCAGGAAAAATTGGGCGAGAGAGATCCTGAATTTGGAATCAAGAGAGAGAACACTTGCTAGACTCTTAAAAACCTTGAAAGCCAATAGGAACCTGCCACATCACCAAACATTGAAATTGTTTATGTTTTTTTCCTTTCTCCATTGTGTGATAAAGATTCCATTTGGGATTCTATCCAAATATTGGCAATTATAATATTGCCGAGAAATCCCTAATTCTAACCCAACATTAAGGTCAGTCTAATGACATTACAAATTGGCACCTATTAGCCTATTAGATCTTCCACGACAGGATTTTCACCATAAACAGACTTGAGTATTGACACACATTCTGGTGAACACAGTTTTGCCGATGGACTTTATGGCAACTTTTACAATTTCAGCCATTAAGTCATTGGCTATTATCAAATTCGGACATGCAGTAAATCAGTAATAACTGTTCAGGGTCTAATTCTTCAATTTATGCTATTTTACCAGGCAAATGATGCACAACTCAGTACAATGGTAGCTGAACAGGTACATGCACACTTTATTTTGAATGCTTGGACATTGGTGACTAAGAAAGTTGTTGTATATTCTTCTATGCAGATTAATGTTGCAGGGTCCTTTTTTACTTCACCTTTTTGTTTTTGATAAATCAATAAATGGAGCCCCAATTTATAATCTGTTTGGCATGTTTAGTTTCTTTCAAAGGAAGTTACTAGTTAAGTAGTCAGCTAGTCACTTTTTGGGGTTCGTTAATACATCTTTACAGTTCATTGTTCACCCAAAAAACATTAGTGGTTAGGTATATGTATTTTTATACATGCACATTTTTTTCCTTTGCAGGTTGAACAAGCTCAAGCTGGCCTTGAATCGCTTTCCTTATCTCAAAAGACTATCAGCCAACTCCGGGAGAACTTCTGTTCTATTGAAAAGTATAATTTATAAATCTGATGTTCTGCACTTCAGTGTAGGAGCAGGCTTGTTTCTTTTGCAGTGTCCTTTTACATACTTAATTTTATTTATTTATTTATTTTTGAATCATTATCCTCTCATAGGCTATGCCAAGAATGCCAAACGTTAATAGAAAACCACGATCAGATAAAGCTTCTTAGTAATGCAAGGAATAACCTTAATACCACCTTGAAGGTGAGTTTCTGATTTTGTTTTGTTCAAAAGCTATTCAAATAAAGTATGAACTGTAACTTATTCAACATATAAAATAACATATTTAAGTCCACGATATATTTGTATAGAAACTATGTTTAGATTGATTACAAGAGAAACACTAGTATCTCCATAAGAACAAAAGAGCTCTAGATCATTTTGTGTATCATCCACACATATGGTTAAGAGGCTTTGAAGCTTCTATGAGTTTCAGCCTTGCAGGGAATGCATTCATTATAGGTTATTAATGTTACTTTGTAATTGCCACATAGACATCAATAACATCATCTTTTTCACTTAAAATGCAAATTTCTGCCATTTTTACCTTGATCTGCTGCCTTCATGGTATTTACGTCCTCCGTCCCCCTTTCCCCTCTCTAGGATGTAGAAGGAATGATGTCAATTTCTGTTGAGGCTGCGGAGGCACGGGAGTCCCTTGGTGATGACAAGGAACTCATAAACACCTATGAGGTAAACAACTTCTTATAAACTTTTGTTCTCTTGGGTCTTGATAATTGTTATCAGTTCCCTCCAACTTGTATACTTGTCTCATGCCTTTCTATTGTATTAAAAAAATTATGGTAGAGGTTAACTGCCCTTGATGGAAAGCGGAGGTTTGCACTCGCTGCTGCTGCATCTCACAAAGAAGAGATTGGCAGACTAAGGTCAGATTCTTGCATTACGATTAAGTTCCTTTAATTTTGGAGCTGGGATCTCATATTCCACAAACCACTCCATGCACCAATTAGTAGTGATTAGTTAAAGAATATTAAACAAATAATTTTTCAATCAATTACATGTGGTTGGTACACAAAGTGGGACAATTCTGGTACATGAAATCTCCATTAGAATTTTGACATACTAGTTTGAGAAACAAAGGTTTAGGATCAGGAAACCAGACCAATCATACCTAGTTTATCCCACTTGAGAGTTGGGTATGTTGAAGGTGAGATCTATGGAGGTCTTATCTCTACCTTGGATGGTTTCAGTACCCTGATAAGGATAAGTGAAGGGTAATGAGAAGTGGCAAAAAAACTGTTTGCCAGTAAAAGAAAGCAGCAAAATAGCATAAACAACTACCAAAGGATAGCAGTGGTTGCCCCCAACCCTTAAAAAGCATATCTGCGTATGTTACCCTAATCCGATCTCTCCAGAATCCTATCAGAGTTCATGTGCACAGACAAGTTTAAACTGCCCATGTTCAGCTTCAATTGCATGTCCCACGTCTTCCATCATGTCAGATCTTAAACAATATTGATCCCTTTTTTTGTTCAAATCAAGACCTATAGAAAATAACCAATAAGCTAAATTTGATTTTCCGTGTCTTGTGTTTTGAGATGAAATTTACCCAAAGGTAATCACTATTTTGCCTTGTTCTGTGTTGCAGTATAGTTTATTGACTTATTTCCATTTTGGTTATAAAGGATTAAGCTGTGTGTAATTCATGCGAATGAAATAGCTAAAGTTCCTGTAGTGGTTTATAAGAATCACAAAAAAATACATAAAACTAGACAGGACTGTACTGTTTATCAAATTAATTCAAAGGGTAACCTTTCAAGTTTCTGAAACTATCATCAGCTTATCTTCTTTGATATGTTTCATACTTTCACGTGTCCTTCAAGTGACGTAAGATGAGGCCCTGTGTCTCACACTTTAGATTTTCTCGTTACTGTTTCCAGAATTGTTTTCATCTGAAACCCTATTTGTGTCATTCTCAGAGACTATTTTGAAGATGTAGATCACACATGGGAAACTTTTGAAAAAACACTATGGGGGCATATTTCCAACTTCTTCAAACTTGCTAAAGAGAGGTATTCTTGATTGTTTTGCTTGCATGTAGAATACTATCTATCTTTTGAACAAAGTGGTATCAGAAGTTCATATAGGGAGAGGACAACACATGCATTTTTTGTATTTCTTTAAGGATTGTCAATTAGCCAATCCCAAAAATTTTGCCTCACGTTTTAGTTGAGTTGGAAAACGGGCTGGCTTAACAAAGGCATGCAAGATGAACATGTCTGATCGTTTCATTCGGAAATATGCTATATGCCACTTTTACCTACCAGTTCATATCTCTTACAGTTTGTACCTGTTTACTCATGGACCTAGTGTGAAGGTAGGATGCCATCACAACAGAACTAATACTTGCATGCATATGCATTAGACTGTAAATGGGGTGTACAAATATTTGCTCTCAAGTATAAGTTTGGACCATGTTCAATTTTATTCTCTATAACTTACATCCATCAATTTTCAATTGCATGTGCTGCAGAAAGTTTATATCTTGTTCTTGTTAATATCCCTCATGATGTGTCTGACACTTATCTTTGCAGCCCACAAACTCTTGTCCGTGCTATAAGGTATGCTTCACTTTTGACAACCTTAAAAATAGCTTGCACAAAATGCAAATACAGCATGTTTTATTCTTGCATGCTTGCTATGGTAATTTATTTGGTAATAATATACATTTTAAAACCACTCCAGACTTCTTGCTCCCTCCATTTTCCAGGGTTGTTGAGATGCAAGAAATCCTTGACCAGCAACTTGCTGAAGAAGCAGCTGAGGCTGAGGGTGGTGGAGCAATGTCACCAATAGCTAATCCTCGAAGAAATACCAAGTACGTGAGTTGTCGATAATTTCATGCCATTTTTTTGCTGAGGCATTTATGCTTTACTAGTTACTTGCATTTTTAAAATTGATATTAAATCTATTACTTTCTTCAATTCAAATGTATTTTGCACTTTTCTATTCTCCAAGTTCAGTATCTTTCACTTCTTAAGTTTATTGCATGTAGAGTTATTCTAAGCTCTAATTATAGTATTTTGTTTGGCCATATAGGAAATCTTTACATGGAACAGCTTCTACTAAAAACCTTATACACCAAAAAATGAAGGTTCAGGGGAAAGGCTACAAGGATAAATGCTATGAACATATAAGAAAGTCCGTTGAAGACCGCTTTGACCAGCTACTAGGAGAGGAAGACCTCAAAGCCGCTATAGCTGAGGCGAAAGCGGTAACCATATGATTTAAATGTTTGTTAATAGCTCATACAGAGTTTTAGTATTGATAAATTACAAACTTAATAACACTGATTTTTTCTATCAATTCAGATGGGTGAAGAGCTTGGAGATATATATGATTATGTTGCTCCTTGCTTTCCTCCCAGGTTCGCCATATGTGTTTCTGTTATAGTTTATCGCTTTATTAAAAGGCTCATGTTTGTAGTCATCTAAAGCTGTCACATACATCTAATGACATTAAAATGTCTATCCTGTATCTTATGTGCACTAGGTTCCAATTTTGAAAGAGAAGCAGGTCTACTTTTTTTTTTCAGTAGTTGAATCCAAAAGTTGATTTCAATTGTGTTCTCTTCATAAATGGGCAAATGCCTAAACAATTTTCTATTTCTTTTACTCTCTCTGGGATCCTATTTATGTGTCCACTTATCTAAATCACACATGTTAGGATAGTTTTAAGAAAAACACTGGTGTCAGTCTTGAATAATCAAATCATACCAAAATACTGTTCATTTATAAATCAAACTTGATATTTTGTAACTAAGTTTTGTCTACATATTTAATACAAATGGAATATATATCATTTTTGAATGGGTATCTTTTATATCATCCGGGTATTTATTTTATTTATTTATTCATGTCTCAGATATGAAATTTTCCAGCTCATGGTAAATCTTTATACTGAGAGGTTTATTCAGTGGCTTAGAAAACTAAGTGATCAAGCCAACAATTTGACAAATCTAGAGATTTTAAAGGTATGGTGTATTTGGTTATCAACTATCCAGCATATGGTCAATGTGTGCTTGACTGGAGCCCCACTGTCTTTGTTAAGATACTGGTTTATTTGTATCATTAATGCAATTAGGTAACTGGTTGGGTAGTGGAGTACCAAGAGAATCTAATTGCACTTGGAGTTGATGAGTCTTTGGCTCAAGTTTGCTCTGAAAGTGGTTCAATGGATCCCCTCATGAATGCTTATGTTGAGAGAATGCAGGCAACAACTAAGGTGAAGAACATTTTTGTTTAACTACTGCATTTTTGAATACACTGTACTACTATTGAGTATTGACCATTTGTCTTAATCCAACACACAGAAATGGTACCTGAACATCCTTGAAGCAGATAAAGTACAGCCACCAAAGAAAACAGATGATGGGAAGCTATACACACCTGCTGCCGTCGACCTGTTTAGGATCTTAGGAGAGCAAGTGGAAATTGTGAGGGACAATAGCACTGATCTCATGCTTTACAGAATTGCCTTGGCAATCATTCAGGCAAGTTGAACTTAGAGCATCTTTAATGCAAATTGCTTAGATAGAGTTCTTAGCTATTTTTTATTATTCAAATGCTAAGCAATGGTTGCTTAGTGAAGCAACCCTCTAACAAATTGAAGCAATTGTGCTTCCATGTCATAAGCTGCCTAAGCATTTCTTTTATTAATATACTCATATTCGCTAAGCAACTCTTAAGCAACTTGTGTTAAAGATGCTATTAGCATACCTATTTGCGATGTACGGACTATGGAGCATATGTGATTTTAGAATGCCATATTTGATTCAGTTGTTATCCAGTGTGCATGAATTGCTGGTTGTGTGCGAACAAATGCACCACATATTATGTTTATTTGTACTCTTTACAAATACCCAATTTGAAGGTTTATGATCAGGTGTGATCCTCAAGGGTCTGTTTGGTTGGGAGGGAGGGAAGGGGAAGGAAAGGATGAGAGGGAATGAGAAGGGATGGAAGGGCTTCCCTTCACTTTGTTTGGTTGGAGGAGAGGAAGGAAAGCATTTATTTTTATTTTATTCTTTTATTTTTATACTTTTTATGCTTCGTGTTATTATTTATTTCAAGTATTTTATTAATTTCTTTTCTTACTTTTATTTTTTTCTACTATCATAATAATAATTATATTTATAATAATAACTATTAATATTATTATTATTATCATTATTATCCTTCTTGTTATTATTACTACTATTAGTCTACTAGTATTATTGCTATGATTTAATTTTTAATTTATAACTTTTTTATTTTTTGTTAATTATTATGTTATTATTTATTATTTAATCCTTTTATTTATTTATTATTATTATTTTGTTATTTTTTTAAAAATCATTTTATATTTATAATTTTTATTATTATTTGCTACTTTTTATTTTTTATTTATTTTTTTATTATTAATTATTCTTTATGATTTTTTATTATATTTATTATTATTATTGTTTTAAATTTATTTTTTAATGACAAGTTGGAGAGAATTGACGAAAGAACAGGAAGAAGAGAGGAGGGAAAGAGAAACCCTCCGATTTGGAGGGGAGGGGAGAGATTTGAAGCTAAAATTTTGCATTCACTTGCCTTCATTTTTTTAAAAACTAAACAAGGGGAGGGGCTCAGTTTCCCTTCCCTCCCCTCCCCTTCTTTCCAACCATACAGACCCTAAGGGGTCTTTAATTTTTCCAAAGAATTATTTGCTTGAGGGTGCCAAATTTTTCATAACCCAGTCATTTGTAGGGAATTCACATAAACCAGTCATCTTCTTTGTCACATTTTCTTTACAAGATTTTCCTACCCAACTTTTTACCAATGTGAAGTACTATATGTTATATAGGTAATGATTGACTTTCAAGGAGCTGAGAGAAAAAGATTGGAAGAACCTGCATCCGAAGTTGGTTTGGAACCCATATGTGCAATGGTTTGTAAAATTTGTTACGTGTTAAGTTTAACAGATCTGTGAACAAAATGTGCTCCTTCTCGTATGATGCTGACACATTGCCGTAACAGATCAACAATAACCTTCGCTGTTATGATCTTGCTATGGAACTAAGTTCAAGCACCATTGAAGCTCTTCCAGAGAATTATGCTGAGCAGGTGATTACAGTTATTTCCCTCTCACTTGTCACAAATAAATATGGAAACATTTGTATGAAATGAAACACTGACAACTGTTAGGACTTCTATCATGGGCCCATTACTTAATTCTACATGTAATTTTCTGAGCTTGATTTTCTCCCATTTTCTGTCCATCATGTGGGTGAACTTCTATAGAATTTTCTCCCATTTTCTGTCCAGCATGTGGATGAACTATTATAGAATTGAACATAGTAAGAATATAACCCATCATTTAATACATTAGTATTTCCTTGTTTCAGGCTAATCTATGGTTAAAAGTGATTTTTTTAACTCTCAGGTCTAAGGGTAATCGGTTGATTAAGTATTGCATACATACAGAACAGAAACTGGAAAATGGCTTCTAATTTTTTTGTCCTGGAAACTTCAAAATATGATTTGCAATTCTTTTTTGGAGTGCTAACTGCTTTCTACTATATTTTAATAAAATGATTTGCATGGTTTGGTGTGTTGAAATTTTTTCACAGGTCAATTTTGAGGATACTTGCAAAGGTTTTCTGGATGTTGCAAAGGTTAGTGAAACTTCCCACACAATTTCCATTTTTACTCTCCCTGAATGCGAAGAAAATAAATTATGGAACTCACAATCCAGTAAAATCTTGAGTTAGATTCCCATCCATTTTATTGGTCATTTTCTGTCGACAAAATCACGTGTAACACTGTAACTTTGTTTTTAAGATATTGGCAAATTATATTATGCATCTGGGTATACATACATTCATGGCATTTTTGTAATTCTTTGGATGACATGCTCATTATGTTGTTGGGGATGCTCATTTTGCCTTAGAGTGCTCATTCTCAATGCTGGATCATGGATGTACCGTGATCAAGGTACACTGGATGTATAATATAGGGGTAAATTTCGCAGATGGTGCATGAACTTTGAGCGTAATTTCACTTTGGCACTAACTTTATTTCCTCCCAGAAATATACACGAACCTAGAGTTTTCTTTCACCAAAAGTTGTTTAGCCGGTTTCCAAGTGAGTAGCAGGTTACCATGTCTACGTGGATGATATGTTTGCTTCCAACTCCGCCCATTCTATTTTTATTCTTTTCTTTATTCTTCTTCCCTCTTCTTCTTCCTCCTCCCTCCGTTTTGTTTCTTCTTCAACAATATCTTTTTAGTTTTTTCTTTTTCTTATTCCTCGGTGGTGGGATAATGGTGTTTGGAAATTGGAAGTATTATTCAGTACATCACCGGCTACCTTCGTGAATTTGGAATCCTGAGGCGACCGCCACGACGAGGTGGTTCCAGGATCTCCGAGCAGCTTGTCACTTTTCTTGATTTGGGTCAATTGCCATTTCGAATGCAAGTTGCTCGGGTCAAAACTATTACCCGCGCCGCAACCGTTGCATCGGGGGCACATTTCTGAAGACATAGATTTCAGTGCTTAAACAAAAACAAGACGCACTTCCGCTAAAAGGTTCACCTAAAACTCAAGATTTCATTGAATAATCCGGGAATAATCTCAACTTGGCCACACACATTACAACCCAGAAATAGATCCTTTTCCCTCTCTAGCTTTAAGAGATGAGAATAACTTTACTCTTTGTGTAGGAGTAGGGTTGTTTGGGAGGGGGAAGAAATGGTGAGGAGTTTCAAATTGTCAACAATAACGATGTAGAACCAGAACAACAACAACAACAACAACCCAGGTGAATCCCACAACAGTAGGGTCTGGGGAGGGTGTGTGTACGCAGACCTTGCCCCTACTCGGAAGTAGGGGGGCTGTTTCCAAAAGACCCCCGGCTCCACCTGCACAAAAATATGGAAGGGAACACAGTATAACACAGATAAAGTACCAAGTACAAGCAACACGTACAAGCAATAGCAGAAGATTCCTAACAAATACAACACACTACAAAACAACCTCTACAACACTGAGCTCCTATCCAGCTACTCTAATCCTAGTTTTCCAAAGGTTCCTATCTAGGGCCATATCCTCAGTCAGGTCGAGAAGTCCTAAATCCTGCCTAATCACCTCCTTCCAATTCTTCCTAGGTCTACCCCTTCCCCTACCTCTTCCCCTACAACCTCTACAACACTGAGCTTCTATCCAGCTACTCTAATCCTAGTTTTCCAAAGGTTCCTATCTAGGGCCATATCCTCAGTCAGGTCGAGAAGTCCTAAATCCTGCCTAATCACCTCCTTCCAATTCTTCCTAGGTCTACCCCTTCCCCTACTTCCCCCGATAACCGTAATCCTCTCGCATCTCCGTATAGGGGCGTCAGCATCCCGCCGTCTCACATGGCCAAACCATCTCAACCTCGCTTCCCGCAACTTATCTTCCACCGGTGTCATGCCTACCTGACGTCGGATAACTTCGTTCGAAATCCTATCCAACCTTGTCTTCCCACACATCCATCGTAACATCCGCATCTCCGCCGCATGCAGACAACGCACATGAGTCTTCTTAACCGCCCAACACTCTGCCCCATATAACATAGCAGGTCTGACTACGGATCGATAGAACTTACCTTTCATTCTAGGCGAAATCTTCGGATCACACAACACTCTTGAAGCTAACCGCCATTTGGCCCAAGCCACTCCAACACGATGTCCAACATCCGCATCTAACTCCCCATCAGCCTGGATTACCGAGCCAAGATATCAAAACCTGTCTACCTTAGGTACTAGATGAGAGTCATTCCTGACTTCCACCTCTGATTCTGTATCCCGGCATATTTTCAGGAGAGGAAAAAAATAAAGAGGAAAAGTAAAAATAATAATAAAACAAAAAAGAAGAAAAGGAATAAAAAAGATGTCCGAAGAACAAGAAAATAAAAAATCAAAAACAAGAACAAGAACAACAACAACAACCCAGGTGAATCCCACAACAGTAGGGTCTGGGGAGGGTGTGTGTACGCAGACCTTGCCCCTACTCGGAAGTAGGGGGGGACCCCCGGCTCCACCTGCACAAAAATATGGAAGGGAACACAGTATAACACAGATAAAACACCAAGTACAAGCAACAAGTACAAGCAATAGCAGAAGATTCCAAACGAATACAACACACTACAAAACAACCTCTACAACACCAAGCTCCTATCCAGCTACTCTAATTCTAGTTTTCCAAAGGTTCCTATCTAGGGCCATATCCTCAGTCAGGTCGAGAAGTCCTAAATCCTGCCTAATCACCTGCTTCCAATTCTTCCTAGGTCTACCCCTTCCCCTACTTCCCCCGATAACTGTAATCCTCTCGCATCTCCGTACAGGGGCGTCAGGATCCCGCCGTCTCACATGGCCAAACCATCTCAACCTCGCTTCCCGCAACTTATCTTCCACAGGTGCCATGCCTACCTGACGTCGAAAAAAACAAGAAATTGTTGGAGAAGAAAGAAAAAAGAAGAAATAAGAAGGCAGGAAGAGGAATAACTGAAGAAGAGGCTAGAACAAAAAAGAAAGGACTGAGTTGGAAGTACATTCATCATGATTTTAAGCCACTTAGGCATCCATGTTGGATAGTAACCTGCCATTGACCTGGAAACAGGTTAAAAAACTTTTGGTGAAAGGCAGCTTTAAGTTAGTGTGTTTTTTATGAGGAAATAAAGTTGGTATACCCAAGTGAAATTATGCTCAAAGTTCATGCACAGTTTGTGAAATTTACCTTTGAATGAATTTCAATTTTGTGGGATGCTAATTCCTCATAGGTCTTTAAGATATTTGAATGTAGAGTTTTAAGTAGAAAACTTAACGATGTGTGGCTTATAGCTCAATTAAACATGGCAACTAAGCATGTAAATAATATCTCAAAGAGGCATTACTTCTATCATATCTTTGTTTGTCACCATTGGATGCTTATTGAAGAGATTACTAAAGTTGCCTTCGCTAATTCCAGGAAGCCGTTCATCAAACTGTCAATGTTATTTTTGAAGATCCTGGAGTGCAGGAATTATTTGTTAAATTGTATCAGAGAGGTAAGTCAGTTTGTTTTTAAATAAATTATATTTCTCTTGATAGTTGATACATGATAACCTATACAACAACAAACCCAGTGAAATCTCAATTCTGTTGCAGTCTAGGAGGGTCAAAATGTAAGCAACCTTTAATAAAAAAAAGAGAAGATTTTTCTGTTAGACCCTTGATGTCTGATGCACTGCTGGAGGGGGAGTTTATTGTGCCATTTTGATTTAGTCCAATTTCCACTTGAAGCTTAAACATTGTCAAAAATGACTTTTTTTTTTAGCTCCATTGGCAATGGGCACCATTTCCCTTGGAGTTTAATGTGCCATTTTGATTTAGTTCATTTTTTCACTCAAACCCAAAACATTGTCAAAAATGACTTTTTAGCCCCATTGACAATGGGCACCATTTCCCTTGGAGTTTAATGTGCCATTTTTTACCCAAAGCTAAAACATTTTCAAAAATGACTTTTTAAGCTCCATTGACAATGGGCACCATTTCCCTTGATACCTATGTTTAGTATGAAATTGGTTGGAAATCCATTTCTGGATTTGCTGCCAAGTCAAGTTATGCTGTTAATAGAACTAGAAGAAACACTTCACTCGATGGTATGGATTTCGTGTATAATGGTATGCCATAATTTTATTGTGCTGCAACAAATACGTAGTAAATCAAACCAATCACTGTTCACTAGTGCTGACTATCATCTCAAAAAATCATGCTCAATACAAGGGGATGCTGCTGTGTTCACATAGAAATTGTTGTATTATCTGACTTAAGATGATAATAGTTCATTTTGTAGTTGTTTGTGTACAACTTTTGAAGAGTTTATCACATTTTCTTTTTTGAGATCATGATCTCTCTATGTTACATATTTTAATGCTTGCATCGTGGTTTCAGATTGGCTGGAAGGGCAGGTTACAGAGTACCTAGTTGAAACATTTGTGGATTATTTCAGTGATGTGAAAGTGTATGTCTTTGTCAATATCAGTAGCTCTCACCAATATATTCAAGATATCTAAGGAAAATAAATGTTTGTGTTAAATTCAAAATGATACAGAATAATAACAAGTATACCATTCAGTTGCACTTCAATAGCCTTTTGACATCATCTGTTGTGCGATGTACAAAGGTACATTGAGGAAAGATCGTTTAGGCGATTCGTTGAGGCTTGCTTGGAGGAGACAGTAGTTGTTTATGTTGACCATCTTCTTATACAGGTAACTAACTAGCTATAAGAACATGTCTTGAATGGGTTTACTTTCTATGCATTTGAATTATATATTGTCATGATGAAATTGCTTCAAATGATCTAATTATCCACAATCCGGATATTGTAGAAAAATTATATCAAAGAAGAAACAATCGAAAGAATGAGGCTAGATGAAGAAGTTCTCATGGATTTTTTCCGGGAGTACATCAGTGTTTCCGTAAGCTTTTAGTCCTTAAAAATTGACATTGAAACCTCCATCTGTTTCTCATAAACATTTTGAAACATGCAACTAAGCTGTCATTTTCCTAAAGCGCTGTGCCTATTCAGTTTTTTTTGGTATTTAAACTCGAAACATGGAGTGCTAATTGCTAAGAATGCCCCAAGTTTGCAGCTTTTTTGAAAATCTGTTTGGCTCTTGCAGAAAGTTGAGAACAGATTAAAAATACTTGGTGATTTGAGAGAACTCGCTTCTTCCGAGAGCCCCGATTCTTTCACACTTGTTTACACAAATATTTTGGAGCATCAACCCGACTGTCCTGTAAGTGTTAAAAACACAAGTATTTGAACATGGATAACTCTTCTGATAAATTAGAAAACAAGTTTTCTTCTAGTCGAAGCCACAACATTCCTTTTAGTCGTCTCCCCCCCCTATATTATCTAACGTATGAAATTTTTGATTCATTGAAATGCAGCCAGAAGTAGTTGAAAAGATTGTAGGATTGCGAGAGGGTATACCACGAAAGGATTCCAAAGAGGTTTGCATTTCTGTAAAATCCTTAAACTTGCATGACATGGTTGCTTCACCTAACTCTCAAGTGGTTGCTTTATATTATGTACTACAAAGGGTTCTCAATGGAGAGACTGAAAACCTAAAGAAAACCCTCCTCCTAACTTTTATTTCTTATGAAACAGGTTATTCAAGAGTGCAAAGAAATATATGAGAGCTCTCTGGTTGATGGGAATCCTCCAAAGACGGGTTTTGTTTTCTCCAGGGTGAAGTGCTTGTCACATTCGAGAGGAGTTTCAAACTTGTGGAGAAAGCTCACTTAGGTTCGTCCTCCTTTTATCTTTCTTTTTTTTTTGCTCTCGAGGGCAATCGGTCTGTTCGGATCTTGT